CATACAAATAGGAGTGATGACAATGATCTTCCCAAATTGGCAAATTTGATCTTAAGCACCAAACATAACCTTGGCAAGTATAATCGTCGTTGAACACAAAAAGGGGCAAGTATAATCGTTTAGACCAATAGAACATCAATAAAAGCATAGCATCATGTAAAACAACTAAATTATAGCCGTCCGATCATCCCAATTAGGACGTAAACGAGTATCACCGTTGATTTACCAGACTTTGATAATTTAAAAGTCGTCCATCCACGCCACAACCCGAAATCCACGTCGCTCCACGTCAAGTAAAACCCCTTGCTCCAATACAAAATTACCACGTGGCTTTCTCGCAATATGATCCGTTAGATCTGCCACGTTTGCAAATCATGACGAAGCTAACCAATCACGAGAAACCAAAGTGTACGCAATTAAACAGTTCACACATCACTGAATCATTCCTATTATATACGGATCTATCATCTATCGAGCTGAATCATCATCATCACTGAGTAACCCGAAAGCAAAAGACTGAGAGAGAACCAAGCGATCTAACAATGAGGAAGAGGACGCTCGTGTCCGTTTTGTTCCTTTTCTCGCTTCTGTTTCTTCTTCCAGATCAAGGTACGTTTCCATGTATTTTGCTTGATTTTGAGTAGATAGATATAAGTGTTGCTTAGGATTCATATGCTGATGTTAGCGATATTTCTGTGGTATCTGTCATAGGAAGAAAGTTACACGCGAATGCAGAAGATAGTTCCGATGAGGTTACAGATCCACCAAAGGTTGAGGAAAAAATTGGTGGTCACGGCGGTTTATCGACGGATTCCGATGTAGTTCATAGGTTAGTGTCTTGTTAGTTTTACGGTAACGACTTTCGTTTCGATTGCAGAAATCTCGCTTAATTCGAATTTGTTTGATTGATAGAGAGTCTGAGTCGATGTCAAAGAAGACGCTTCGCAGTAACGCGGAGAAGTTTGAGTTCCAAGCTGAGGTTTCTCGGCTTATGGACATTATTATCAACTCTCTATACAGTAACAAGGACATTTTCTTAAGAGAGTTGATCTCCAATGCTTCTGATGTAAGCTTCGTGTAATTGGTTTTAGTGAGTTTTGGGATAGGTCCTTATATAAGGGAACTAATAAGTGTCTTTGTTGGTGATTTTCAGGCCTTGGACAAAATTAGGTTCCTTGCACTCACTGACAAAGACGTTTTGGGTGAAGGTGACACTGCTAAGCTTGAGATCCAGGTTAGCTACTTGTTTCTTAATATGATTTATACGTTGAACTTGAGTGTGTTAAAAATAGAGTTTCATATATTTGTTTTCATTCAAAGCTGATCTCAGTACAATTAGCCTTTCGTTTGGAATTGTGTCTAGTGCAAGCCTTTTTCTCTTAGCTCTCTAACTACGCCATGGTATGCAGATTAAGCTTGACAAAGCCAAGAAGATTCTTTCTATTCGGGACCGGGGAATTGGTATGACTAAGGAAGACTTAATCAAGAACCTTGGTACCATAGCAAAATCTGGAACGTCAGGTACGTTGCTTATGTGGTGATACGTTGTCCTGCATAACAGTCCGGATCAAGAAATTCCATGTACCTAAGATCTTGTCCTTTCGCAGCTTTTGTTGAGAAGATGCAATCAAGCGGGGATTTGAACCTTATTGGACAATTTGGAGTTGGATTCTATTCTGCCTATCTTGTTGCTGACTACATTGAAGTCATTAGCAAGCACAATGATGACAGCCAGTAAGTTGATTTTAGAGAGGGTTTTGTTTGGCAATATACATGTATGCATGCTAAATCATTTGAAGATCTTTTCTGATAACTTCTTTACCATATTCAGGTATGTATGGGAATCAAAGGCTGATGGTAAATTTGCTGTTTCCGAGGATACATGGAATGAGCCTCTTGGACGTGGAACCGAAATTAGATTACATCTTAGGGATGAAGCTGGCGAGTACCTAGAAGAAAGTAAGCTTAAGGTGAGTAATATTTTGATAAGAAAGTAAATCTCTCTTTTGTTACAAACCAAAGTTACCCAATGCAAAGAACCAGAATAACCCAGGGTTTGTTGTAGAGAACCCCAAACTCTCGAGGGGAAGTGGTTCAGCATTATTATGAATTCAGTGCACTGCTTATTCAATATTTCTGTTTATCCTCTCATTATGGTTGCTTATGATCAATGTTGTCTACTACAGGATTTGGTGAAGAGATATTCTGAATTCATTAACTTCCCTATCTCTCTCTGGGCTAGCAAAGAGATTGAAACAGAGGTCCCAGTTGAGGAAGATGAATCAACTGATGAGGAAACTGGTGAGTATTAATGAAACACCATATTATAATTTTCTGCTGCAGTGTTATCTTTTTTTTCTTCAATTCAGGCAGCCCTGATTTTTGGTAATGGTACTTGACTTCAGAAACCCCCTCTACCGAGGAAGAAAAGGAAGAAGATGCTGAGGAGGAAGATGGTGAGAAAAAGCAGAAAACCAAGAAGGTGAAAGAAACAGTTTATGAATGGGAGCTTCTGAATGATGTTAAGGCTATATGGCTGAGAAGTCCAAAGGAGGTGACGGAGGAAGAATACATTAAATTCTACCACTCTCTCTCAAAGGTGAAAGCCATGCGTGAACAAAATCATACTTATTACATACTAGGTGTAAAAATTTCGTGTGGATTTCCCTGACACCAGTTGTTATACAGGATTTTACCGAAGAGAAGCCAATGGCTTGGAGTCACTTTAATGCTGAAGGTGATGTTGAATTCAAGGCTGTGTTGTATGTTCCTCCGAAAGCTCCCCATGATCTATACGAGAGCTACTACAACAGCAACAAGGCGAACTTGAAGCTATATGTCAGGAGGGTATTCATCTCAGATGAATTTGATGAGCTTCTGCCTAAGTATTTGAGTTTCTTGAAGGTAAACTACTTGAAAGACAAATTAAGAGGTTCCCTCAATACAAATTTAAGGGCTAAATCCCTAATGTGAGTTACTTCTGCAGGGTCTTGTTGACTCTGACACATTGCCTCTAAATGTATCACGAGAAATGCTTCAACAACATAGCAGCTTAAAGACAATTAAGAAGAAGCTTATCCGAAAGGCACTTGATATGATCCGCAAGCTTGCTGAAGAAGATCCTGATGAGATCCATGATGATGACAAAAAAGGTATTCCATAAAACATGCTTCTTGGTATCGATCCACTTTGACTGTTCCACAACTTTTTACCATGTGGGAGTTTCATCTTTCTGAAACATGGTCTATACTTATTGAATTGTTGGCACGCAGATGTGGAGAAGTCTGGTGAGAACGATGAGAAGAAGGGTCAATACACAAAATTCTGGAATGAGTTTGGCAAGTCAATCAAACTAGGCATCATTGAGGATGCTGCTAACAGGAACCGCTTGGCAAAACTTCTTCGTTTTGAGACGTATGCTCGGTTTCTTTTTTTTTTAATGCACGTCTGTCCATTCATTAGCACCAGCAGGCTAAAGATTTACAGTTTGCTATTTCAGAACAAAGTCCGATGGAAAATTGACTTCCCTGGATCAGTACATTAAGAGAATGAAAAAGGGGCAAAAGGACGTATTTTACATCACAGGAAGCAGCAAGGAACAACTGGAGAAATCTCCATTCCTGGAGAGGCTCATCAAGAAGGGCTATGAGGTTTGCATTGCACACGAATAATTCTTCTTTAATCGATCTCCAATTCGCATAACATGTTCCAATATTTGTGTTCCCAGGTTATCTTCTTCACAGACCCTGTTGATGAATACTTGATGCAATACCTGATGGATTACGAAGACAAAAAGTTCCAGAATGTGTCAAAGGAAGGACTGAAGGTTGGGAAAGATTCAAAAGACAAGGAGCTGAAGGAAGCATTCAAGGAGCTAACCAAGTGGTGGAAAGGGAATCTCGCTAGCGAGAACGTGGACGATGTCAAAATTAGCAACCGTTTGGCTGACACTCCCTGTGTAGTCGTAACGTCCAAGTTTGGATGGAGTGCAAACATGGAGAGGATCATGCAGTCTCAAACTCTCTCTGATGCTAATAAGCAAGCTTACATGCGCGGAAAGAGAGTCCTCGAGATCAATCCACGACATCCTATCATCAAAGAACTCAAGGATAGAATTGCAAGTGACCCAGAGGTAAAAGCAAACACAAGACCCATCAATTCTTTTTAACCTTCTGTCTATTAGAGAAATAATCTAACACACCAAATTCTCTCAGGATGAGAGTGTGAAAGAAACAGCACAGCTCATGTACCAGACGGCTTTGATCGAGAGTGGATTCTTACTCAACGACCCAAAAGACTTTGCAGCCCGTATCTACAACTCCGTCAAGAGCAGCCTGAAAATCAGCCTTGATGCAGTAGTCGACGAGGAAGTCGAGGCAGCAGAGGAACCAGAGACCAGTGAGGCAACTGAGACGAAATCAGATGACTTGGCTGGTGGTCTAAACATTGAAGCTGAACCCGTTGAGCAACAAGAAGAAAACACCAAGGACGAACTGTAGATTTTACTTCTGATGGTTCTCCTTTGTGTTTACTATGTCTCTTTTAGTTTAAAGCAGAACATCGTTTTACTCGAATCTCAAGATTAGTTTAATTAAGCAGTTTTTGATGGATTATGTAAACGCACTACTTGGATTCTAGAGATCAACGAACCCAAACTTCTTCTTTTCAATATATGAGTTTTATCTTTCAAGATTAATGATCCTTCTGTCCGAGTTAATCTAGATTTGGTACCATAATATGCACTCATCTTAGCCAATTTAGCCACCTATAATGCATATATTACTCGGTGTTATTTTCCACAAAATTTATTTTAGAAAACTTGACTTTGCAAAAATTTCAAACAGATAATCTGTAAAGCTATAGATTTTATATGGAAAAATACTTTAATCAATATATTCATGATAACATAGCTTTTCAACATGTTTTATCTTGTATCACTTTAAAAAACATAAAGAAAATGGTCAATACTTTTGTGAGATCACAGATCTTGAGCCTTGACCCTTGAGACAACGTATATATAGAGGTGCTGATGACATCGCAAGTGCTCTTTAAGCTCTATATCTCTTGGTCTTTATTATTTATTTTTTCTCTCTTCGTTCGTTTTGTGAATATTCCAAACTTGATTTCTACACAAAAAATACTTTGCTTTTGAAAAGAAAAAAAAAAACAGTGATGATCATAACAGTCCTTCATTCTCCAGTCTCATTCTATTTCATCATCCTTAGCTTCCTCTTCTTCCATGGTACGTAATATTCATATCTATCATACTTTCATGATATCTGTATGAATATTTCTATAGAAAATGCAAATATTAACATATAGTTAAAGCATTGCATTTGGTAGGAAGTGATGGTGCTACAATCACCATCGTAAACCGATGCAGTTTCACCGTGTGGCCGGGAATTTTGTCCAACTCCGGAAGCGGCGACATAGGCACCACCGGTTTCGAGCTCGTCCCCGGTGGTTCACGTTCGTTCCAAGCTCCAGCTAGCTGGTCAGGTCGGTTTTGGGCAAGAACCGGTTGCAACTTCAACTCGGACACAGGCCAAGGCACGTGCATAACCGGAGACTGCGGCTCTAACCAGGTCGAATGTAACGGTGCAGGAGCGAAACCTCCCGCTACGCTAGCCGAATTCACAATCGGGTCAGGTCCAGAAGACCCGGCCCGTAAACAAGACTTCTACGACGTGAGCCTCGTGGATGGTTACAACGTTCCCATGTTGGTGGAAGCAAGTGGCGGGTCAGAAGGTACTTGTCAGACAACAGGATGTGTAACGGATCTAAACCAGAAATGTCCAACGGAGCTCCGGTTCGGATCCGGGTCAGCATGCAAGAGTGCGTGTGAAGCTTTTGGTAGTCCAGAATATTGTTGTAGTGGCGCGTACGCTTCACCCACCGAGTGTAAACCATCGATGTACTCGGAGATATTCAAATTGGCGTGTCCAAGATCGTATAGCTACGCGTTCGACGATGCTACAAGTACGTTCACATGTACTGATGCTGATTACACAATCACTCTTTGCCCTTACTTGCCTAGGTAGGTTAACTTATTTTATCTTATTTTTGATTTTTGTTTTCATTTTATTTGTTCCCACTTGCTTTTTGGTATGCACACGACGAGCTTAGCTAGCAAAGTAATGTGATTGGCTTGAGCCAGGCTAAAAAAAAGAGGTTGATACTTTCTTTTTTTACACGTAATAAAGGAGTATATAATAGTCATTCCATCAAAGAAAAGGAAAACAAAAAGGTTAATACAACACGTACAGCATAGGCCTACCATTATGAAACGCGGAAGCACAGATAAACTATTAAAATTTAGTCCTATATATATTTTATCAGAAAACAAAGATACTATTATTCTGATAATCTGATTAAAGTTGGAATATGTTTTCAGCCAAAAATCGGCAGCCAATGGGTGGAGAGATGGCGGTGGATTGGCAGAAACATCATCGTCGCCATTATCGACGTGGTTGTCCGATGTTTTCACCTCTGATTCCTCAAATGTTCAGTCTTCCAAATATTTACTAATCTTTACTCTTTTTCTTCTTCTGCAATTTTGATATATATTTTTTGTTTCTCATTTCCGGGCCGGGTGTATATTTTTTCTATCCACATTTATATGTTTCATGATTATGCATATTGATGAACATTTAATTTAATCACATTTATATGGGTGAACTAAATTTTGGCGGAAAATAGCCTAAAGTCCATGCAAAACCGTAACCAAATGCAAAGTATATGAGATGACTCTTTAGGGTAGAAGTACGATAAGTGTAGTCGCAAGTTAGCAACCAACATAATAAAATACTACTAAGTGAAAAAGTCTCGTGTATTTAAAGATATGTAGTACTATTAGTTTTTGTTTTGCTTTGATGACGGATGATGTGTCCGATAAGAATTACATTGATGGAGAGATGACGAGAAATGCAAAGACTTGGAGTGTAAAAGAAAGGAAAAAAAAATAGAGGACAAAAAGATAACAGAAACAAAGGTGGAAAGAAGATACAAGATATTATCAAAAAAAAAAAAAAAAAGATACAAGACAAAAAAACATCTATGGAGACTTTCCTAAAGAATGAAGTAAGACGAAGGAAAGTAGACAGAGTTGTTATATGAGATCTCTTAAAGATCTATTGATTGGTCTGCTTGATGATTATGTGTCTTTATACTGATGTTTGCACTTAGCCTTTTGATGATAAGTTGATAACCTTCTATTAGTCCTCCATACCTTGACGACGATCATCTTGAATGGGTCCGGTCTTATGAGAGACATCAAGTGAAAGAGACTTTGTATTAAGGAAAGTAGCTTAAATCCTTGTGCTAGCTACCACTGTACCACATGTATTGAAGAAATACCAACTTAGGTAAGTTAACGTTTGTTGTCAGGTGGAAAGAATGATTACTAATTTACTATCATAAAATTATCAACTTAGTACTAGTTTAAAGGTCCAAATGATTTTCTGTTTTAGGCATTCATCCTTAATGGCATGTGACGTTCCACGTAAAGCATCTTCCTTTTCGGCGTAAGGTAATTTATTAGGAGACGATCAAAGTCTTAACTCAGAAGAAATTGATGTTACTCAAAATAGATGTATTTATTGACTCAAGGATGACACTAGCACAAACCCACTAGACTAAAGTTTTGGTGGTCATTTATCAAATATATGTGTATGTGGAATAGTATGTTCTTAGACATTTCAAATCATATTACTTGTTTGGACTTACCATTCAAAAAAACTGAAATCTAAATGTCTAAGCCTATTATCAGATGATGCATGTACACAAATTATTGAGAATTTCCTTTTTATTATTCTTCAATCTCTAAATTTGACAGTCTCGACATCTAAACAGGTAACCAAACCTATTTCCAAAATGATATTCCTATCAATGTAAGGCCTACAGAATAATGTTTCGTTTTGGCACGGTTTTGCCAAGCTTGTCTTATGCTACAGCCTACAGTATCATTCGATTAACAAGAGTAACAACATTTGCCTAAAAAACTATGGTCCTTGGGATGTCTCTGGGGAAAGAATGGAGTTTTGATAAAAGAAAATGTAGAGTCAAGAACGCATTGTTATTCATAAGTACAAATCAGTCTGCTCACTCTGCATTTGTTTCGCCATGGAACAGAGGAATTGTTTCAGAGAATTTTCAGCAGTCACTAATGCAGCCTCAACTTCTTTCTGCTTCTCCTCTGTTGTGCCTTTTCTTTGCTCATGAACCAACTGTACTTTCCGAATAAGTTTACGCAATTCCTATAAAAAACAATGGGATAAAACGTAAAAGTTATGGATTACATCATTAAACCAAAGACCCATGCACATGATAAACAAGTCATACACTTCTCTTTAACTTATTCAATTCATATTTGACTAACCTGTCTATCGAAATCAACACTCTGAAGAGAATACACTTCCTTTGTAAGTTCCACATTTTGACTGATTAGGCCATCAAACCACCTCGCAGCCATAGCTATATATTCGTCTGACCCCTGAAGATATTCTTTCAAAATTTAGTTGAGTTTGGACAACAAACAACTGAAAGATATTCTATATAAACAACAAAAGTAGTTCTCTTCATCCATTTAGACAACAAATCAGTAGCTGCTTGAAAGACTATTCATGAATGTGCTCAGAAGCGGGATGGAAACGGTTACATGGTTCTGTTTGACGTGTGAGTTTGTTTTGTTACAAACAATGAAAAATAAATCTCCTCTCTGTCCTTAAGGAGGTTTCTAAAGGAAGCTTCTTAATCCGAATGTCGCTTCCCCTACTCTATCAGCCACTATGCATATAAAATTCTCCGCAATGCACGACAAAATCTTCCCCTCACTGTATCTTTCCCATTCACTTTCTTGAGTTATCCTAAAGATGGAATTGAACAATACAGTTTTCTTCTCTAATCCCCTAATATCAAATGTTATACTTATATTGAGATTCTTGTTTACACTTACCTCCTCTCCATCTTCTGACTCTGTTTCTGTATCATCATCATAGCTGCCTCCAACATCATCAGCGACATCCTTCGCTGAACTAATCAGCGTCTGCAGCGTTGTGTGATCACCCTGCTTGGTGGCATTAATCAGAGTGTCCATCAAATCAGGTTCAACTTCACGCAACAATTTCCCTGAGATCATTAACCAAATTAGCAAAATCCAAATGGATGCTAATTTCCCCTAACAGTTCATCTAGATAAAAATGATGTATTTATCACCGATATAGTTGAAATGTCTACGCTTTCCTTCTCGAACATCCGAACCTAGTCTCTGCGGCAAAACAACAAACACCTTATGTGCATTGTCCTAAAATTTACGACTACCGTAATAATAACGTCCAAAAATGTACTCATTGTGACTTACCTTCGCAAGCATCAACGCATCATAAACCTCTTCACCAAGCGACGCAGCTCTACGATGAGAAAGCCAATTACTTTAAAACCAGAAACTTCAACACAAATATAAAAGTGAAGATTTTGAAGTGATGATGTTTTCAAATTTGAGAAGCTTACTTCAGAATCCGTTTAACCTGATCACCGGAGAAGGAAGCAAGTTCCATACCCCATTTGACGGCACGGCGAGCATCACGCTTCCGCTGGTTACGGCTCTTCAACGAGTCAGACTCGGAGCCATCGCTATCACCATCGTCTTCAGCAATAACAGTTGGAGTTAAAGCTTCCGGTGGCGCGGGACGAATTCTCCGATGAGGTGGAGACTTTGCGGTGGAGAAAGAAGAGAAGAGAAGAAGAGTGGGGATAGAAGAAGGTGGGTTCGGAAGCTTTTTCGAAAATAAATGGCGGAGATTACGAAAATGGTGATTACACTGCGGCGATAATTGCCTTATTGGTCGTATTAGTTGCGCCATTGCAGCTCCGGCGAATCGTTCAAAGGTCGGAGCTTTATCTATCTACACTCTCTATAAAGTCTTCTCTTTTATCAAAGTCAGTTTTTTTCCTCTCTATATATGACTTTTTTTTCTTCTGTTCGGTGATTGGTTAACAAAAGTCTCAATTTCAAATACCAAATTGAACTAGAGTTTGATTCCAATCCATACATACACATCTTTCACAATACACACAAAGACTGAATATTTCTGCTTTCATTATTATTATCATCCGGTGAAGCTAATACGAGAGAAAGAGTTTGAGAATCTCCAGCCAGAGGAGGGTTTAATGTTGAATGTTGTTGGTGAGAAGCTAAGGCCAAACATTTCTTTTGGTGTCAGATTTGAGTCAACGAATCCAACCAATGTAGCTACAAGAGAAGCACTTTCTTTGCAATGCTTTATGTCTTTGGTGTTGTTGTTCCATAGTTTGTGTGTTACTTGCAGGCTTCTCCGCTTTGAGCTCAGTTCAACACCCCATTTCTTGTAAACTTCTTCTTTTTCCTTCTTTCCAAACTTGTTTGGTATTTGCTTAGCTAACCATTCTCTCTCGTGTGTTAGTGCTTTGGCAGTTTGTTTCCTCGATGTCTCAGGCGAGTCCTTTAGAAATGATAGTCTTCGGAGTTCGACTTCCATGTAAACAAAGTCCGATGGATCGCCTTTGAAGAGCAAGAAAAAGTATGTTCTGTGAACCAAAGGTACGTTACATACTTCCCAAAGCTCGATTATTTGGCTTTGTTGTCTCTCAAATTCTGTTTTCTCGCCGCCATCATCTGTGTTTTCTGGCTTCATTGTCTTTGTTTCAGTATCGCTATGCGTGGAATGTTGCTGCATTGTCCTTTCTCTAAGTCCTGCCATAAATTCATGGAAGCTACTACCGCTAGTCTCTGTATCGGAATCTTTCATGCTCTGTGCGTCCATGGAGACAGTGATATCTGAATCAAAGGATGTGTTGGTGGTCTCGAATATGAAACCTCTACTAGCAGCAGCAGCAGCCGCCTTTGTAAACAAGAGGTTCTCTCTGCAACTTCGGCTTCTTCTCATCTTGAAGTAATCTCCTGGACTCAAAATATCATCTATCGTATTAAACGAAGGAGATTGTTTCTCTTCAGCTGATTGAATACTCATAAAGTACTCAATTGTCTTCTGCATTTCCTTCACCTTTTTCTTCAGAGCCTCATATGTATTATCATCTTTGTCAGAGCCTTCATACACTTCTACACATTTCTCTTCCTCAGGAAGTGATTTATATAATTGCTCTGACTGATTCATAGATAATGTCTGTTCTATGTCTTCTTTCTTTGAAGACAAATTCTTTTTTGTGTCTTCCTTCTCCACAGATTGCTCAGTCTCTTGGGATTCTTCTAACTTGTTTGTAGTTAGCACATCTTGGGCTTCAAGTTTATCATAGCCTCCATAGACTTGTACATATTGCTCTTCTTCAGGGAGTGATTTCGTTACTTGCTCTGACTGATCTTTAGACAAATACTGTTCCATTTCTTCTTTCTTTGGAGATTGCTTTTGTTTCTCCACAGATTTCTCAGTCTCTTTGACGTCTTCTATTAACTTTTTAAAAATCACCTTATCTTCAGCTTCAAGTTTAGCAAATAAACTCAACTCCATATCTATCGTTTTTAAAGATGAATCAGCATCAAACTTCTGGGACTCATCGGGCGTAAGAGATTTGTAGTTTTGTTCATATTCTTTCTTTTCAACAATGTCGTCTGGTGGTGAGTCTTGCATTTGAACTCTTTCTGCTTCTCCACTGTTTACTTCAATGCATCTAACTTCTTTGCAAGCATCTTCTGGCTCTTGGGTGGTGCTTTGAGCCATCTCTTCCCACTTATCGTGTAGGTCATGCCCCGGAAATTGAGGGTTAGTATCATCCAGCAGGAAACCATCCTCATCAGGAGAGTACAAGTTACTCTTCCCCAAGTTATTTAGCATACGAGGCTCATCAAAATCCGTTGAATCGTAACTTATTCTTCTTCTTCTGCTATCCATTGAACTTGAAGATGACCGCTCTTCCGCTGTTGATTTAAGCAAATTCTCGACCCGAGATTGAGCTACATCTCTTTGCCATTTAAGTTCTTGGATCTGGTCTTCCATCTGCAGGTTGTTGAAAAAGAAATGAGTCATACTTTCTTTAATCAAAATAAAGGGAAAGAAGAAGCATTCAAGAAACCTTTGTAATCAACTCTTCTTTCTGTTTGAGCATTAATGCGTAAAACTCAGAGGTTGAAGAAGCAGAAGCAGGTCCAAGATTCTTCAACTCATTCTCCATTCTTGCCAGTTCCCGCTGCAGTTGCTTCACCAAAGCTTTCTCAGACACAACCAAATTGACTTGAGCATTTGTGGTCACCTCTTTAGCACAGCTTGCAAAGAGAAGCGTGTTTCTTGATTGTTCGAGATGACTACGAGCAGGGCTCATTGTACAGATGATAGCCGTTCTTGCGTTTCCCCCTAGTGAATTCTGAAGGATACGAGTTAGCTTTGAGTCTCGATACGGTATGTGTCCATTTTTCCCTTTGCTGTAGTAGTTTCAATAAAAGACTCATATCAGCTCAAAGATGAAGTGGTATGAAGCATAACAAACTTAGCAAAAATCTACTAAATTGGTGCAAAAGTGACCTTAGTTTTCGAATGACAGTTCCGAGAGTAAGTAAACTCCGATTAATGTGACAACCTTCTTTGAGTCTTGAACCAGCAGATAATGTCTGAGAAGCACGTTCACTTCCTGCTAGATCAACAAAGCACACTGATGCTGCAAGAGTCGCTGAGCTCTCTGGAGAAAATACTCGATTCGAGCTTTCAATTGTCTGCAAGAGAAAAAAGCATTAATGTGACTTGTGACAATATGTGAGTGCAGTGTTTTCATTAAAACGATGACAATGAGTGTACCAGTCGAAGAATCTGATGAGATCTGGAGCTAGTCTCATTTAAAGACGTCTCTCCAATCTTCCTCTGAGCTGCAAAAAAAAAAAAAAAAAAAAACAGACTCAATATATTATCTATTTGTTGGTAATAATCAAACTATGAGAAAGACTAAAAGAGTTTGGTTAATTACTCTCGCATATAGAAAGGAGTTCTTCTAGATGGTTTCTGTCTGTGAGAGTCTCTTCTCTAAGTTTCTCAACGACTGTTCCTCTCTATCAAAGTTGACAGTAGTAATATCAGTAATAAAATTAGTACTCAATGATAGATGATTAGAGCGTTATTAATAGCGTGGTAAAGAAGATAATCTGACCTCTGGATCATCTAAAAGCCTAAGTGGAGTGCTGCTATCTTCACAAAGGAGATCCCTTACAGCTTCATTGTAGATCTCCATCGCTGAGAATTTTAGAGTGAATTTTCTTTCTTGTTTATGCTAGAGGAAAAAACAGAGCATCTCAGAGACTAAATATATAGATAGCAGCAAGAACAAGAGTATGGAGAGGTTAATATATGTAAACCTTGTCAATGTAAGCAAATATATCGTTCATAGCAAATTCAGTGATTCCACTCATCGTGTACGTTTTTCCACTACTCGTCTGTCCATACGCGAAAATGCTCGCTGCAACACAAGAATCGGCTTAGTATTTTATCGAAATGATTGATCATAAGGAGAGATGCAACAATCATATTTCTTACAGTTAATTCCGGAGAGGACACAAAGTGCAACTTCTTTGGCTCCATCATTATAAACTTGCTTCGTGGGGCATTCGAATCCAAAAACCTTGTCTGTAACTTAATAAATGATTAATATAATAGTATACCTCAAATCAAAATGGTGAGAAAGAGGGTGCAACTCAAATTCTTACCAAAGGTATAGGAAGACTTGTCAGGCAAATTATGGAATTTGCAGATGATTGTGGTGTCGTTGATACATTCCCAATCGCATCTATCGTTCTTTGTCTTCTCTTTCTCGTTTAACGGCCTAACCCTCACCGACACCAATATCTTCTCTTCTCCTCCCGCTGCCATCTTTTCTTGCTTTCTATACTATCTCTATATTGCAAATCCAAACCTATTCATGGATGCATAGCTCATTTGATGATCTTTGATCAAATTGAAATGATCTGACTTTAGATATCATGAAGAAAAAAATAGGGTGCTGAAACCAAACTTCTTCTCATCTTCTTATCAGAAACCAATGAATGAAACATTCAAACATTTCATTGACCAAACCTAATCGACATGTTTAAGACTTGGCTCACCTTTTGATCCTCACCGGATTGCTGCAAATTGAGAGAGGGACATTTTTTTAATTGTGAGGGATCATAAAACTAAAGAAAAGTTTTGATTTGAGCAAAATCCATATCGGAAATGAAGACAGAGACAAATATCAACGAAAATTTGTTAGCTAGGAGATGAGAAGAATGAGTCAGCCAAAATAAATAATCGGGTCAAAAACCCCTCTGTTGTTTCTTCTTCCTCAAGTTTTCAGCTGATTGAGCTGTCTGAGAGAGAACATGTCGGCATGGCCATTGGAAATGTTTCGACCACCAGGTCCAGGTCTCTCTACTAAAATAAGAATGTTGCCAAATTTTAACCTCTTTTACCCTTTCCCGTTACTGTAATTACACTATATTTCCTTGCTGTACAAGGAAAATTAACCTTATTTTGATGACTAAGTTAAACAATAAGAATTGACCAGACCCATTGGCCCCCATTTCAAGCACATAGATTTGATATAAAAATAAAAAAAGCTGAAACACATAAATCTGAGGAATTATTTTGGATTATGAAAGATTACAATTGGATACTGGAACACTTGATAGGTTTTAGAGAGAAATCAAGAACGTTACAAATAGAATTGATACTCCAAACCACAACCAAATAGTAAAATAAAATAAAAATCCTTCTCTTTGATGTTTTTTTTATATATACTTTTTATACATATAAAAATAAATTTTAAAGGTAAAAGAACAAGATACTATAACTAAACCAAACGTAAACCATCTGGGAGTTGTTGATCATGAGACGAGTCTTGGGATATAAACTTACGGCAAGCATAAAGCACTGCAGAATGAAAGCCACTTGGGTTGTCTATGAACACAAAATGACCACCCTGCGACATTTCGATCAAACAAAATCTCGCATAAGCATCATCTTATTCTCTATATTTTCCTCTTAAATGTGAAAACAAAAGCATGTATTTAGAGATTTACCTGTGGAACCCGAATGATTTCGCAAGGGACCTTCATGGATTTCCTTGCTTCCACCGCACCTTGATAGTTCATCCAATCATTCATTCCATAGATAAACGTTGTTGGCACTTTCCACTCTGATGCACTGCACAAAAAAAGAGTCATCGAATTTGAGTATGTAGAAACTCCATCTGCAATGTGCTTGCATCAGATTTGGTGGACATACCTTTGTAAGAGGGGCTTCCGAGCAAATGCTCCAAAGGAGAAGATGTATTTCAAGCACAATTCTCCACTAGCCTTTGCAGCCAAAGTATGGTACACATAATCTACAATGCAAAACGAACCATCACTATCAGCGATTGCAGTATCATCCTCCATAACTTTGATGGAACTTACAGAATGAATTACTTACCGGTTAGCAATTTGGCTTCCTCTTCTGTTAGCACAGTTCCCTCCGAATGTGCACCAAATCTTGCAGTTGTATACCGATTTACAAGACCTGGACCCCATGGACCTAATCCTCTGTACCCAAAGCACATTTAGAGAAATATAGTGAATATAGTAGTATTCCTGCCAACTAATTTCATCGCCGAACAAGTGTTCCCATGCTCAATTAAGTGCCATAAATTTGTATCAACGAAATGAGTATCAAATCAACCTATTGGTGAATGAGAAATGATTATATGAGCATACCTAATCAGCTTCTGAGGAGTGAAATTCGACTCCCATAAATGGTTTAGGACTGCACCTTTCCATGTTGCTCTAAATTTAGTGAGCCATTCCGATTTGGCATCTGCTTCTGCTGAGAACCCAGCAGATCCCACCAGAATTAAGTGTTGAACATGTTCAGGATGCTGAAATATCCAGAGATATGCCCAATGAGAAGTCAGATATCATAAAAATCAAAACTGTCACCTTATACTAGTTTAGTATTACCAAACATGAGAATTCACCTTAAGCGCGTATTTAGCAGCAACATAGCCTCCAAAAGAATGTCCTAATAGAATAAAGTTACTGAGATTCTGGGTTTTACGCCATTCCTCAAAGGAGTCGATAAACCATGCCTCAGTTTCTGCACAATCAAAGAGGGACCAATGCAGTTCCATTACTGGTAAACCAACTCCATATATACAAGCCATTAAGGGTGAGAGGTTGCAATGAAATTTTAGCCACGGGTCATTAAACAGTAGAGGGAAAGAATACCTTCTGTGCTTCTACATGTAAAATCAGGCCTACTTGATCCACCCCACCTATGAAGAATAAAGAGAAAATTACCTTATTATACATTGTGCACAATGTATACAAGAAATAAGAAAAAGGGCAGCAACATCCTCGCTTCCATTTTTAAGACAACAAAACAAACAAATGGCAAAAACATGAAATCTTAAATAGTTAAAGCAGCCAAAAGGCCATATTGTGACTAATACATTTCAGGAAGACAAAGGTTGCTTACCCAAGTTGATCAATAGCAATCACCCTAAACCGACTGGCAAGAGCATCGAAATTACGGAAGAAAAAACCTTGAGAAGCACCATATCCATGAACCATCACGAGTGTAGGAGCACCCTCCTTGGCATCAAAGGTAACAGTATTGATGTAACGTGACTCATTGCTCGTAGACCTAAACCACCTGATTTTGGAACCTGGTGGTCCTGAACCAATATTGACTTGTTCTTGTACATAAGGCGTCCTGAAGATTGTTCATCCCAAATGAGTTGAAAACACAGCTTATCCCTAATCTAGAACCTAAAAAAGCTCTCCTTTTACATTTCGTCCTCTAAGAAACAATGTCCTAGAAACAGGGTTAAACCCAAATTACAGAACTTTTATGAGAAATTCATTTATGCCAACAATCCAATTGAGAGAAAAATCCTAAAGTTGTGTAATTGAGGATAAAAATTTGAGCTTGAGAGAGAGAGAGAGAGAGAGAGAGAGATGTACTTGAGGATGGAGAGAAGACGTTTCTCGGCGGCGATGATATAATCGGTGGACGTAGGAATCCACCGGAGCGAATTAGGCCACAAAATTTTCCATCTTGATTTCGCCGCATTTGTTGCAGCCGACGTAGCAGCAGATGAATCAGCCACCGAAGCAGTAGAAGACGATCCCACCTTCTTTGATATTTCTTCAGCCATTCTTAGTCTTGACGCAAAACGACTCGAGTTCATTCAATCACCGAACAAAATCAAAATCTAGACTTTTCCCACGAATCAAGGAATCGAGAATTTTTGGTACTAAATTTACTTTATATAGAAAAGACGAGACGAGAGGTTTTGCAGCGAAGTCGCTTAAGGGATACTATATGCTTTTAATTTAGTTTGTTCTTCCACACGTCATTGCCGACGTCACTTCTCCTGCAAAATTCACAGAAGCTTCCCGTTGGCAGAATTTGGACCTGTCGGTCTGGTCAACTCTTGAAATAATTAGTTAAATTGTTAGAACAAAAGTGATTATACTTTTTTAACTTTTCAGATTAAGATTGTTAATGGAAATAACCAATTAGATTCAAGGTAAGGTGAAAAGTTGCGATTTGATTCGTATTTTGACTAAAATATCTATATATACATTTTTGGATCACAATTAGCAAATAAATCCTGAAGTTGAGAAGTATTTACAATGACATGCCATTAGCATTAATTATTTAGATTTGTTTTATTTAAATAAAGATTTTTAATTGAAATTCATTTCTCATATATTTAACAAAAGTCTCTATAAAATCTTTCCTTATCTATTTATGTAAAGATTTTGAAATTAAATATGTTCTCAACAATTTACCAAAAATCTCTACACAATCTTTTTAAAAATCTCGACTTAGTTAACTTCTGATTTTTATCTGCAAAAAAAAAAATTAATTGTAACGAGTGATGTAAAAATCGGGAATGTTGATACTACAATTTCTTTTACTTTTTTTTTTTTCATATAATGAAAATTATTTTTTAGGGATATTTTCTTAAAACCTCTAAACAAAACAAAGGGTTTCAAAAGATAGCTTCTCTTTTGGCGGGTCGACCCGCAAACCCGTAACTCTCTACAGGCTTATCCGCATGAACCTGCTACCCGTAGTGGATAAAAATATTATTCAAAAAAATAACAAATGATGTTTAATTTTACGGGACTGGGTTATATGGTGCAACCGGTTTGATCAATATTTTAATATTAAACAATATACTATCGATGAAATCCAAGAATTAAAAATCAAAATTTAATTATAAAATCAGAAACACTAAACAAAATAAACAATATTAACAAAACAAATACAACTTAAAATTTTGCAAAATAATTTTTTAGTTATAAAAAGATCGACCCGCGGTGTACCGCGGGTAAAATCTAGATTTGGAAGTCTAAGGAAGAAAAATCTTTTTAAAAAAATAATAGCTCCGCGGTGTACCGCAAGAAAATCTTTCTCCTAAACTGAAGCAAGAAGAAGAAGAAAGCCAAATGTCGTTTAAGTGTATATATAGATATACCATTTAAACCTAAAACACAATTAATATACTCAAAACTATTAATATAGATATATGAATGATACATTTATAAAATAGGTCAAAATATTATATTATACTCTCTATTAATAAACAAAACTAATTATATTTAGATTTTCTTAAAAAAAATTATAGCCCCGCGGTGTACCGCGGGTTCAAATCTAGTAGTGAAAACATAATCGAGACACACAAACCGGTTTAAGTAAACCGTTGTTTCAAACAATTTTCCATCATTAGAGTAGTGGTTTAGCCTTCTGCAAAACACCAACAGAAGCTAAAAGGTCTCAGTTTTTCAAACAAAACACAAGTAACAACGATGGTTTTTAATCACTAAACCGGGGTTTTGACTTGTAAACAACACTAACTACTAGAGCCATTTTTCTAGCTTGAGCTTCTGCTGCAGCTACTAGTAGTAGTACTAGAACTTGGGTTGTTGGAGACACCGAGACACAGTGCTTCAGCCAATGGTCCACCTGGTGTTGTTGAATAGAGCCATGATGGACCTTCATGGCTAACCCACTGATGCTGGTTGGTTCCCTCTGCTTCCTCCATGCCTCCTCCAGCCATTGATAGTGTCAGAGAGCTTCCCATTGCTTCGTCTTGCTTCCCTTCTACAACAAACCGCCTTGTCTCTTGGTTATGTTGTGGTGTCTCTTTTAGACTTAATAGACCCTGCAATGTTCCAAAGCTATGGTCTACTACTGGCTCCTTCTGCCTGAAATTTAGATCATAATCGAATCCGCGTTTGAGCTCTCTGCTTGATCCAACCTTCAGCTGGACAGCTTCATGAATCTCCGGGTTTAAAGTTCCAATGGCATCATCTTCTTTCCTAAACCACCTCAGTCCTCTTCACATATCAACAAAAAAGTTTCACTCTTTCAAATGATTTCAAAGGGGAAGGATTGTAATACTTTGAATACAATCATGAAGGTAAAAGCACCTGTGGTGATCATATGAAGAGGAAGCAGACGGAAGAGTAGAAAGCACAGGGATCTGGCTTACAGGTTGTCCGTAAAACTGAGGATAAGTTCTCGCAAACTGGCTAGTATCGTTCTTAGTGGTAGGAATGTCATTGTGGTGAGACGATTGGTGAGATGATTCCACATGCTTTCTTGAACGAGGACGGCTCTTGTGTGTGTGCCTCTCACAGTATTTCTGATCAGGAATCACGTTTCTAGAGCATCTCCATTTCTTCCCATCTGTTCTCTTGCACCTCCATGGCTCCAGATCAGCCGAGTTGTTGCTTGCGCTTGAAGCAATCCCAAGCTGCAATGAGCCTCCTTTTGCCACTGCCACTGTTACTGTCATCCACATAGACCACGGCAGATTCTTGTATTCAGCATAAGTACTAAATATTCCACTCATATGCATCCACTAAGAGGCAACACTTCTAAAAAAACCTTGACATTCTAATACCATCATAATGGATTTTAGTTGCATCAGACATGATAAAAAGAGAACAACAACACATGAAACCAAGAGAAACTGACAAAAAATAGGAAGCGTTTAAGTGAAACTAGGGAGATCTTACCATCCGGGTCAGTGTTTGATGGGTGGTTCTTGGGAAAGGGAGTGAGAAGCTCGGGAGGAACAGGAAGAGAAGCCATCATGTATTTATATATATTCCTCTGCCTCTCAAGCTCCTGCCATTGAGCTTCACTGAAAGCTGCACCTGCGTCTTCATTCATACTTCTTCTCATTTCCCCTGGATTTCATCCAACAAAATCACATCAAAACCAACACATAATAAAATTCAACTTTTCATAGCTCAGAAGCCAACAAAAGGTGAGAACTTCAAACCTGAAGAGCTCAAGGAGAAAAAAGGATCTGCTACAGTCACAGCAGTAGAACCAGAACCGGTGTGAGAAAACATATTACTGTAAGAAGAAGTGTATGCCTGATTGCTAGAAACAGAGAACATGGGATCGCTAACACCAGCAGAACAGTAGCACAAAGAAGAATAAGAGGAAGGTGATGAATATGATGGATGATAATGATGATGTGGTAGCACCATAACGTCTTTATGCGAATTTTCTACAACTCCAAATCCAAACCCACCAACAAAATCTTCCTTACGTTCTGCTCTTGTTCCCATTAAACTGAAACACACACACACACACAATTTCTCTCTTTCTATTTCCTGACTCTGTTATATCCTCTCAAAAAGTATCAAACTTTTACCAGAAACACCACCTCTAGAAACCTTTAAACCCGATTTAAAAGCTCAACAACACACATAAACAGAAAAACAACCTTGGAGATACTCAAAGCTTTATCCTTCAAAAAATCCAAGAAAGAAAAAAACAGAGAGAAACAGAGAAGAAAAAAGCACCCGGCTTTACTCTTTAGCCTAATGTCCTCAACATAAAGAAAACCTTAAAAACCACCCACAAGAACACAAAGGCTTCCTCTTTTTTTTGTCTCTCTATTTCTCTCAGTGGCACTTCAAAAATGAGAGGATGGGGAGAAAGATTGGGGATTTAGGTTAAAACTAAGGTGAGAGGAGCGGTGTAGCTATTTGAAAGCCTCATGAGCCATCAAAAAGCTCTTCTTTTGTTTCCTTAGTCTCCAACATTCGACCTTGTTTCAGAATACAGACAAAAATCTTCATTAACTCTATCTCTCTTCTCCCTGACACAGACAGTAGCATCCCACGTTGTCGTTTCCTACACTAACGCCGTTAACACTCTCTCCCATCCACCGCCTCTTCAAAGCTTTTTACTTCGACCTTAGGTAACGTCTTTCTTTTTGTCCCATTCTCAAATTACACCGTACCATATTTGATGATGAGGATAGACTTCCGTTAAGTAACGGCGTTTAAAAGAGGGTGCTTGGAGATGTGTGTTGGTAAATAGGACCCATATGAGGAGGTTTCCGTGAGAGCTTCTTCTCTCATAGGGGACCAGAGAGATGTGATGCTCTAACTAATTTACTCTCTTCGGGTCACTTTCTTAGATTTTACTACTTTTTCACCCCTTTTCTTTTCTTCTTTCTCTTTTTCGACCCCACTACTTTTATGTCTCTATTTTCTTCTGATTTAGTTAAATTTCCTTCTTTTATAGATCACATGATGATCATTATTGGGGGAAGAAGGGAAATTATTTATTGGGGCAAAAGATGATTCAAGAATAAATCTACATATCCTTTTTTTTTTTTTGGCTAATTCTAGTTTTCTTTGTTTGTGTTATACGCCTAATTATAGGACCACTCAAGTTCAAATGTCAAAACATATGGACTATTAAGGTCATTTGTTGTTCGCAAGTGATATAGTAGTAGTCTAATTTAATCGGTGGTTATAGTCTTAAATAAAACATGTGTTTTTTTTACCAAAAGAGGACTATAATTTTAAAAGACTCCAGAGTGAACCCCAACTTTTTGAAATCAGGAACCACTCCTATAAGAGACACCAATACTCATATATAATAAACTCATCATGAGGATATATGTTAGGATTTGGTTATATATCACAAACACGTTCCAATCTGTAATTCACCGAGACTAGCAATTTTATACAGATTCCGTAATTTGGAATCAAATCTGAGATATGTACTGTTTCATGTTACCTACAAATGCGAATAGAACCTATTAAGGAGTAAACTATGTACAAGTTATTTCAAAAAATGTGACCAACCTTCCATAAAACTCCTAGTGTAAGAAATTGTAACTTACGTACTGTTGGAACTCATAAATTAAGATCATATAGACAATAATTAACATAAAACATCAAAATTACATTTTGAGAATCGCCCTCAGAATCAGCAAGAGTATCGGCTTTCCGCTTGTCATTGTCAAGACTAGGTTGTGAGCTTCCGCTAGGGTTTCCTTCATGGAATAGGCTTGTCAAAAAGCAGGCTGAGCTTCCACTAGGAATTTCCCAATTTGATTGAGTTTCGGATAAGAGAAGACCAAAACCTCCCCATACAAACCTCCAATACGATAATGCCCCGCGCGATAGTCTCTGATGATTTTTTAAGAGCACAATCACATTTGTTGGTCTAGGATTTTCAAATTCTCACAACAACACGTTAGCAACCATGAAACTATTTATCGTAATTTTACCCCTAGAGAAAGCTAAGGTATATCAACATAGATCTAGATTATACTACACATACATGTATATATTTAGAGAGAAAAAAGAGTTAAAATAAAAGTCACCTTGGGGATAGCTAGCATTTGATTTGGATTCATGCATCGAAATATTTATGTTGCAATTCATCGGAGAACGTACTTTTATCAATGTAAGCCTGGATTGACACATCCCCACGATAACCCTGAATCCCTGATTACAAGTTTTTTGGATTTCGAAGCCGACCCAATAATAGATATTTTGGAGTAAAATTTGTAATCGAAATTCGAAAAGTCTCTTGTAAAATCATTCATGATGTTAATGAAAACTTCACTGTTTCTTCAAAACAAACCGACTTGAAAACTGTATCCAAGTTTGTTGAAAAGCTGCCAATAATGCTTGTCTCAGCTTCTAATGGAGTGGAGGTGTGATTCAACTTTGACGAACCCGACGCTTTAGGAAGTCCATGGTGGTTTCGAATTATCCAACCCTCCATCGCTAAGAAGATTGCGTATCAGAACCAGCACCACAAAAAAAAAAACTATCGTATAATGATTTCAATATAGGTTCCAAAAATCGTGAAATAAATTAATGTCGAACAATATATCTTATTATATGTTGACATGTGTCAAACTATTTTTTTTTAAACCAAATTAAAAAAACAAAACTAATTTAAAAAAAAAAAAACATATGTGCATATAATTTACTTGTTTATACTTAAGATTTTCTTTTTCCTTAAGCACAAAAAAAAAAAAAAAAAAAAAAAAAACTAGCGGAAAAAAGAAAAAAATAAAAAATATATATTTACAAATATATGCTTCTATTTTTTTAAAACCAGGTTTTACTGACATATGCTAATTTTATATGGTAGGATATGCAACAGAAATTGATGGACTAAACGAAAAAGTTAGAAGCCAGGGGAAATCAATTTACATACATACATGAAAATGCATGGACTGTCACCCAGTAAGATAAGATAACACATAAATATAGTATTGCGTCAAAATCAAAATACACTCGGAATTGAAAGAATCAAATTTAATTTGATAGAAAGACATCATACCCCAAAGATCATGCATGCATGTCCTTTTCTTAACCTACGTGATCCGTACCGTTTTACAGTTAGATGTGTCGATTATTTATGTAGCACCGGAATTCTTGATATATATATTTGTCACAGCTAGTTAGTATAATGGTATTAGTTGTTGGCTTGTTTGTTGCCTTGGTGGTACGAATGAATAGAGTTATCACATATAAGGAAGAATCAACCATCTCGCCATAGAAAACCTTATACGTCCAGAAGCGGCAATGTAAAAAACAAAGGAAGGTGATATTGTTTATTGAAAGGTCTACGTTGGTCTGAAAATAGATATAATTGCGTGTCATGAAATAAAGAAATAAACGAGTTAGATAAGAAAAAATTGGATTAGCAAGTTTTAGAGGAACAAGAAATGATTATTCAAATGGAAAAGTAAATTAATATATAAAAGATAAAGCATATTGAAATGAAAAATTGTGCATGATCATTTGATAAAGCCAAGTCATGGACTGATTCTCCTGTTTCACAGGATGGTTCAACCACCACGCACCTCTTTTTCTTTGGGCGTTTAATGACACAACCCACATTTATCTTTTTATATCCTTTTTTGTTTAGAATTTATTTGGTTACAACTGTTATTTACCTCTTTTATCCAATCTTTCTCACTTTCTAAGTCTTTTCCATACAAAGTATTTTGTTCATCTGAAGAATTTGGCACCTTTATACATCCAAGAAAGTTTAAAATGTTTTCACTGCAGACAAACAATTCTTTGTGTGTATATGTAAATCTGATAAATACATTTATATATGGAGAATAATAGTCATGTGATACAATTATGTACCTCATCCATACATATAGAATAAACAAGAGTCCCCAATTTCCCACTCCCAACTTCATTCACAAGTTAACAAAATACACATAGTTTCTCTTACACGCTTTACTATGGAACCTTCTGAATTTGCTTCCAGCAAAAGTTAATTTCCTATTTATTTTTATGTTCCATTTCTGTATATATGATAAATAAAGTTAATGGCAATAAATTCGCCATCTTCCTATCAACATACATAGATTTTTCGACAAATCCATATAAGGAGAGTCTAAAATTAACTCACAGCCACATGTTATTTAGCCAATGTTTTTAATATCAGACCGGTCAAACCGGTGGATCCGTGACCTTATATAGTAATTTTCGATTGTCTTTAACAATATCTCACCTTATGACATCATATTATATATTAATCACGTATCATCTATAAGTATCACTACAAAAAAAACATGTGGATAGCATCACTTATTTTCTATACTTACATCGGTTATCGAATGATACAAATGAGTTACCATCACTCATATAATTGATATCAAAAGTGGCGATGCAAATTAATGCATCGGCTATAGCAACCGATCAGCAACATTTCCATCAATTATAACGAATGATGCTACAATACGTCAGTTATAAGAAATAATGTAAATATTGCGACGACTACAATAACCGATGTAAATATTTACAAACAGTTTTAATAATTGATGTAAATAATTTGCGTCAGCTTTCACAAGTGATGGTAAACTTGTGTCATTTAAAATATGTGATATTAATAGTGACATCAGTTAGTATTAATATGTGTCATTCATACGACTCTCAGATTCTTCGTTTCTCTCCATAATCTTCTATTCTCAACTCTCAAATAGAGAGAGAAAAGGAGACAGACAGAGAGAGGTTCTATATATTATATAAAGTACATTACACAATTGTACAGGTGGACAATCCATCACGGATCTCTCTTCATATATCTCAAATATATAAAGAAGATTTGTGTATTAAACTCTCTAAGCTTTGTTGAGCCATGGCTGTGATGAAGATAAGAGGAGCAGCGACCGTAGCAGGAACATGGCTAAACGAAGCCGTTAGCTTCGTCGTGTTCTGTGTCTTAGACATCGTTGATTCATTTCTTTGTCTCCTCTACAAAGCAGCTGACTATCTCTTCGAAGCCGAGTGGAAGCCTTGCTATTGCTTGTCGGACAAGGAACCCATCACGACAACTCGAGGGAAGATCCTTTTGTCTCACAATAATGGCGAATCCAAGATCCTCACTCTTTCTCCGCTTCAAGAACTCGGGTATATTCATTATTGTTTATGTTTTGTTAATTAATGCAAAATGTATATATTGATATCAGAACTGTCCAATTATTTATGTATTTTAAAAAACAATATTAACCTCAATATTCCAAGAGACAATAATGAATAGTTTTCGTCTAACATAATATATATCTCTATAACTAAAAAAAAATCAATATTCCAAGAGACAATAATGAATAGTTTTCGTCTAACATAATATATATCTCTATAACTATAAAAAATTCACAATTATAATCTATAACTATTGTTTTACATCATTATGTTCTGTTTTTTTCCTCAACGAAATCCATTACCACTTATCATATTTACTATCACATTTAATGTGCATTTTAGAACTACATGGTTAAAAAAATTCATAACCGAGATCATGTTATATGTCTATTGTTTCTCTATTAATGAATAAAATTGGTTCCTTCGGCCAATATTTACTTGAAACTTACTTTCGTTTGATTTTCTTGTAGTGGACGTTCCAAGATTGAACTGGAGGATATCTCCGAGACCCTTTACACACGTCCTTCTCTTATTTCTGACCTCTCTAACATCTCCGTTAACGAGCTCAATAAGCGGTTCGTTAAGGTTACTCGGTCGGAATCCGAGTGTAGCGGCCATCATGAGAAGACCAAGAACAAAAGGAGGAGATCATTAACGAAATCAAGTTTGACGGTGAACTTCACGGTCGTTGAGATGCTTCGGGGAAAGATCAGACCACAGAATTTGAGCCACGATATCTCCCGATGGTCGGATTGTGATTGTGGCTTTTGTACATCGTGGGCCTCTACTTCCGACAAAGATCATTCCCTCTTTGTCAAAACTCAAATCCCAAATGGTAAAAGTTCACATCTTTAATTATTTGAGTATATAACTACGCTTATACAAATGTTTAGCTTAACAGAAAAGAAAAAAAATAAAAATTTGGCGTTTTAAACAATCGGATTCATTACAACAGGGGTAACAGCCAAAGAGGATGTTCTGTTCATACATGGTTTCATATCTTCAT